GAAGGCAGACGCTTAACGACTGAGCCACCCAGGTGCCCCCATGCTTTCCATTTTCCAGGAACTCCCTTCTCTGTGAGCCAAATTCTATTTTTCACTGCTCAGTTTATAAACGCCCTCTGTGAAAGCTTCCCTCATTTGTCTTTTTTATTCAACAAATTATCAAACACCTGATACCTAGGCACTGTTTGTTTTTTATTTTATTTAAAGATTTTATTTATTTATTTGACAGAGAGACACAGTAAGAGAGGGAACACAAGCAGGGGGAGTGGGAGAGGGAGAAGCAGGCTTCCCGTTGAGCAGGGATCCTGATGCGGGGCTCGATCCCAGGACCCTGAAATCATGACCTGAGCAAACACTTAACAACTGAGCCACCCGGGCAGCCCCCTAGGCACTGTTTTAAATACTTGGGATACATAGGTGTACAAAACAGATCTTTGCCCTAGTTGAATTTATATTCTATCAAAATCCGTTTCTTCCCTGTGCTGCACGTTTGCATAACCCTTTCCCAGACTAGTGGAAGATTCCATTCTGTTTGAGTGTGTGTGCACTCACAAGTATCTGAGTAACCCCCACGTGCAAGGTCTACGGAGGAGTACATGGTTAAATCCGAGATCTTTCTCTTGGGTTTACAGGCTGTTAAGGGAATCTAATACAATTAGAAAATTACATGTCCCAAGTGAGGCTAAACAGGTCGAAATTCAGAGAACAATTTAATTGTGAGTTGTTGGGGAAGACTATGAGAGGTGACTTTTGAACTGGACCTTTAAGGATGGGAAGGATGGGAAGAAGGACATTGTAGTTGGAGCAACAAGAGCAAGAGAGGAGATGTGGGGCATATACAAATAATTCATTTGATTTGGCTGGAGGATAGGATGCAAGAAGGGGTGTAGTGGGGGATGTGGTTGGAAAGAGATTGGGATCAGGCTAAGGAGTTTGGGTTTTATTGAGTTAGTAATGGGGAGCTGAGAGTTTGAGCAAAAGGGTGACCTGATTCTAACTGTGATTTGGGAATAGTAACCTAATGAGAGTTCGATCATGTGGGTTTTTTTGTTTGTTTTTGGTTGGGATGGGGGCTATTCGGAGGTTTCTGAGTGAGACCAACAAGAGCCAATGAGTACTTGATTGGGTGCAGCTGCAGTGGGAAGAGAGCCACGGACAAGGATGGATGGACAAGACCGCCAAGGCAGAATCAACAGGATGTGATGCTTTTTGAACAGGGACCAGACTCCACAGCTCTGCATACTGGGGCTTTGCACATAGATGCTCACCTTATTTGTTGAATGAACATGTATAATGGGTATTCACAGAATAAGGAGCTCAGGATTGTCTGAACTAGGAAAAGCTCCATGGAGGAAGAGGGACTTGGTTATACTTCTGGTCTTCCTCTGCTAAGACTTCCCTTCCTAATGCTTTATAATTCTGGGTGGGTCCACTTTCTAATCTAAATTACATGCCTGGAAATTGGTTGGAGGGGTGTCCTAGGCATTCTTTCTCTGAGCTGCCCCTATCTCTTGGCTGAGAATGTGCTGGTGGGGACACTAGTGCTTTAGTATTTTGATCCCACTTGAGTGATCCTAGGTGGGTTTTTTTTGACCCTGAACTTCTAATGATACTACCTTCTGCAGGAGAGGCTTGATGATGGGCTGTTTCAGTGACCTGCGCTTTGGTGGAGTCACTCCTGTTCCTCCAGGGTCTGCACCTCCACTTTGGAAATCCAGTGTCAGCTCACCGAGAGGTATTCAGGCTCAGGAGGTCTTACCGGAAAAAGAGCAAACACAGGAAACATTAATAAATAAGGATGCACGTAATTGTAGTTTATATTCGAGCTATACCAGGCTGGTCTGCTCAGCAAACCACATCGTGGTGTAAAGGTTTTGTGCTTTTTGTTTAAAATATAAAATCAGAGCATGGGAATGGGAGGCAGCTGTAGGAACCTGATGAACACAGTGTTTCTCAGTGTGATCACCATGCCGGTAGAATCAGCATCACCTGGGAACTAGTTAGAAATGCAAATTCTGGCCACTGCCACCCCCTCCAGCCTCAGACCTGGACACTCTGATACAGGTGCCCTGCAGTCTGTGTTGTAACCAGCACACCAGGGGAGCATGATGCACACTGAAGTCTGAGTACCAGTGACTTACAAAAACTGTCTAAAAAATCTAAGACAGCTGTCAAAAATTAGAGCACTCTCCCCTGAATAGAGCTTGTTAAATACTAATGTTTTCTTCCTCTCCAATCCATTTTCCAGACTCTTTGCACTGGGCATTAAATCTTATAAGCTCACAACTTAACCAGTATTTTATAATCCTTAATATTTTGGTCTGATCGACCCCCCAGAGATCCTAAGGATGCTCTTAATGCTTTCAGCACACATTTGCAAGTTATTAGGTTGGGTTATTTTCTTTCTTTTTTTTTTTTTTAAGATTTTATTTATTTGAGAGAGACAATGAGATAGAGAGAGCATGAGGGGGGGGAGGGTCAGAGGGAGAAGCAGACTCCC